CCCTTGAGGTTACTATGCAGATTTGCACTATTCTTTTTTTGTTTTGTTTTGTTTTGTTTTGTTTTTGTCTTTGTTTTTTGAGACAGTGTCTCACTATGTAGTTGAGACTGACCTGGAACTCACTGTGTAGCCCAGGCTGGTCTCGAACTCAGTGATCCTCCTGCCTCAGCCTCCCTAGTGCTGGGATTACAGGCGTTAGCCACCACACCTGGCTGCAGTACTCTTATTCTTGTCTGTTTTATGCCAACAGGCTCAGAGGTTAGCCAATCTTATTAACTGGTGATTTTCCAGACATATGCAAGCAGGTAGCATATGAGGGACCTGTCCCTCCAAGACCATGAAGAGGTGTGGTTCACTCATGGAAGTAGCTTTGTCCCAAAAGGAAAGTTATGCAGTTGCAGTTCACAACAATTCATTGAGATCAAACCCCTTCCCCAGGGACCTCTGCTGAAAAGCTGAACTCATAGCCCTTACTCAGGCATTGACATGCCTAGGCAGTCATTTGGAAAGAAAGGAATTTGCTAACTAATAAAATAAAGCACACGCAGAATATTTTCCTAGAAGCAGTCTATCATTCCAAGCAAGTCACTGCAAGGTTCTCCAAACACACACATCTAAAGTCTCCTTGGGAGATCAAAAGGCTGATAGGGAAAGCAGCCTTATATCCCCTCAAGACTCTAGCCTTATTGTCAGTTCCTGAGGAACCATTAAAGCCAATATATATTTCACCAGGAAGATAAATGGACCTTAGGACAAAGGAGAATCAAAAAGGAACTTGTGGTTTTTAGAAAACAAACTAGTCCTTCCTCAAGGGACACAGCAGAAAGCCATAAAACCCTATGTGGTAAATTGTCACTAAAATTATCACAAGACTAGGAAGAAATCTACTCCTGGGAGCCTCTGGAAGATCTGAGGCTCCTCTTCAAAAAGCAAGGTTTCAGTACTACTCTGGGTGTAGATACCATGTTGCCTTCAAAATAAGACCTCGCCAGAAAATCAACTTCAGCTGTAATTAATAGCTGGTCATTTTCATGGTGACAGCCAGTGTCATGCAAAAGATTAGACCTCACTATTCTCTTGCTCAGTGGCTATTCTGTAATGACTGGTAAGGTAAGGGTAGACTTACTAGAGATGGCATTTTTGGCCTCTAGTTAGATCTTATTTTGAGGCAAACACAGTAAGTAGAGCCACTAATTACCCTAATTTACCACAACTTAAACAGGCACCTGCACTGAGGCTCCTGTTTTTAATTAGATCCATAATGTGGATAATCTTTCTAACTAAGGCTATGGCTTTCAGACTCTTGATAATTTATCTAACATCTCTCTTTCCCATATTTTCTCCTCCATAGCAAGGGCAGAAATCTGGCCTGCTCCTTCTCATATTTGAGCTCTACAATCTGAAACTACTGGTAAAGTAACTCCTGACAAATTCACAAAGTTTTCTATAGACATTAAATTCTTTCTTATTATCTTCTGATTTTTTTCCCCTTCAACACATCCAATGAGCCACAACACCCCAAGGTAGTTGGAGAGCACATAATCTCCAGTAGTTAGGGCCTATTGACCACTTCAGCAGGAAGTAGTTTTATGAAGATAGAAACTTCCACTCTCTCAGCATCCCATAAAGAGTTATGGGGATTTGTGTCTCTCAGGAGGAAATGAGGCAGGAAACTAGGACATGGCAAAGCTGTCTAAGGAAATACAGTAAGTCCTTGACTTCCACTCAGGGAGAACATTCATAAATTGGATTCCTTAGTAAGTCCAACAAAGTGAGTCTTACACATTTTTTACACAAATACACAATGTAAATCATTAAAAAATACAAATAAGATGGGCTTGGTGGTGCAAGCCTGTAATCCCAGCACTCAGGAGTCTGAGGCAGGAGGATCACTGTGAGTTTGATACCAGCCTAGGCTACATAGTGAGTTCCAGGTCATTCTCAACTACATAGTGAGACCCTGTCTCAAAAAAAAACCCCAAATATACACACAAATACAGTAAGTTCCCAACTGTACTGTACTACTGTATACTATAGCACTGAACAATAAGAATACAACAGCACAACTATGATAATATCTGACAGACACATGAGCTACTTCCATGATTTGTTCACATCTATGAATGCTTGTGAGGAAAGGTCCATTTGTATCTGTGAAAGTTTGCAACTCAAATGTTTATAAGTGGGGAACTTACTGTAGGTGTGACCTGTTAATTACAAAATCCAAGGACACATGGGCAGGACAGTTCCCAAAGCCTTGCACAGGTAAAACTGGGGCAGTTTTGAACAGGACAGCCTAGACCTGATGTCAGCCTGAGGAGTGGGTGATACAAAAAAAGACAGTTGACACTGAGCTCTCTGCTACTGTGTTCTCCACAGAAGCTCACTCTGTAAACAAAAATAAGTATACTTATTTTTCTACTTTTACTTGGCCCAAACTTGCTAAGTAAAGCCTGTTTCTTTTCCTACCTTTAATACATATAAAACCTTCCTGCCTTAAAATAGAACTATATAAAGTAATTTTTAATTGTTTTCTTCAGTGTTCTACCTGTATCATTCAGCAGTATTTGACACAGAAAAACACTTTCTAATAGAAAGAAAAGGACCAAAAGTGTAGGGACAGTGAGAAGGATAGGGAAAGGGGAACAAGGGAAAAGGAAAAAAATATGAGAATGTAAAAAT